ATACCATGTTAACTTTAAATTTAAGCATGTCCATGTTATTCTCAAACATCTGGGTGTCCTGTTCAAGCAAATGATGGTCTATCAGTTTCTATAAAGGAGAGGGAGAGAATGTGAAGAGCAGTAATTTCTTAAACTGACATCCAGGCTGGATTTTCCACAAAATATTATATGTATATGGACTTGGGCTTGGAGGAGAAACTACTATAAGAGAATTAAGTAATGATTTTGAAAGCAGAAGGCAGACAGCTCAACATTCTTAGCCTTGTACAACTATAGGTAAATTAAACTAGACGTCAAGAAAAAATGGGGTAGGGCATCTTCAACTCTTACTTAAATCCCTCTTTAGTTCAACTAAAATCTCACCAAAATGCCAATTCATAACTGAAACTCAGAATGTCCACATGATACGGAGCAATAAATCCGAGCTACAGCCACACCTAAGCTTTTAATAGCCATGCTTACAGGGAAGGTGAGACAGGCCATTAAATCCCAAAGCAGACAGAGCCTCAGGTCTGGAACTGTTTTTAGAACTATTTCAGTCTATTCTGAAATGGAGTAGGGGGGAGCCCTAGCCTTTTTGAGAATCTGATGAAAGTTAAGGATCTTTTTCCCAGAAATACATTCAAAATTGCACATATAATTGCAAGGGCTTCATGGAATCACTGACCTGGACCCCAGATGTTCCCAGGTAAAGGCTGAGAGAAGTAAGGGACTCAAACTCCAGGCTGTAAGTCTTAGACTCACAATTAAGGGCTGAAAGATTTAAAGCTTAAGAATCTATAAAAAGAAGACAAACACTATAAGTAGGAGGGAGAAAAGACTGCTGAGAAGATAGGCTTCTAGAGGGTTATATTTCTTACGTAAGTTAGCTTTAAACTTTCTTTTTGGGGACAATCCATTTTCTCTTAACATTAACATTTATCCCAAACCAAGGAATTATCTTTTGTATCTAGTTGTCCCCAATGCCAGCTCAGATATAGCCTGGATTGGCTTGTCTTCTCAAATGGCAATTTCCTTGTCACTAGCACTATGATTATCCCAATCAATCAGACCACAAATTGCACATTTGTCTCCAACTCAATTTTTCTTCTCTTTCAATTTGAAAACCAGGAATCAATAAGCAACCAAGTCCTGCCAATTCTTTTGTCATGTCTACTATGGCTGTTTATTTGGTACCATTTCTGTGATGAGCAACAGAAGATAAATAAAATTAAAGTACACCCTGGTCCCAAGGAGCTCACAGCCAAATTTTCCTTCCTTAACACTTTTCTAGCTACCACTGAGGTTTTAGATCTGCATTGTTCCACAGTCACCTTTCTACTACCAGCCCCTGATGGCTCCAGCTTCCTTCAACGTATTCACTCTCTCCCAAGAATCCAATTCACAGACACTTTACTGACTGAATATGTTTCCTAATAATAAACTCATCATGTTTAAGTCTCTTGCTAGGAATACCTCTATTGGGCTCTGCTATATCTCTGCAGAAAGCCTGTGAACTCTACGTTCATGCTTAGGGCCCTGGGCATCAACAGGACCACCCACCTACCTACAGATAACCCCTTTACCCTGAGCACCCTTAGTACGAGTTCCCTGCTCTAGTGAGGCTGGTCCTGAAACTTCCTCATGTGTATTCCTCATCCAGCACTCCCTCCCTTTCTATGCATCTGCAGAGTTAACAGCTCAGGTTCTGTCTCTTTCTGCAAAATGTTTCAAGAAATTCTATCCTACAGCACCTACTCATTGATACATTACGGTATTTGTGTAAATCATTTCTTTGAACACTAAATCATAAATATTCAGTTTTATGTTTTATCTCTCCAAACTATCATTTCTTTGATGTCAGAGAGAAAACCTTGCATTTTTCTTGTTTACTTTCATATGTCCATTATTTTCATACATTTTTATTGAGATCCTACTTTGTGCCCTGCCCTGCATCAGGCCGAAGGGGTCTACTGTGCTTTGACATGGCAAAAACTAAACAAATGTTGTTGATAAATAAAATGTATTCCCTCTCATAGCAAGTGATATATTTATTTAAGGAAAAGAACTCTTAAAACCTACCTTATTTTTAGACCATGTAACCACAGAAGTCTTTCAAATAATCCCTAGGCATCAACTGTTCAGTTTCAACAATAAATTTGCTGCTGAATTTAAAATATATTCACTTGCTCATAATTTGAAGGCTCATATTTTATTTCTCTTCAATTTGGTATAAAATACTATACAGAAATAAAATGGAAAACTATTTAGCTACTTGACATCTGCAATAATAGTGGATGTTTCTACAACACCAGCTTTATAAATAAGCCAGAAATTGGCCAGATTTAGCTAGCTGTATTAGAAATTTTAGGAAAGTGGGAGGTTTATTTTGATTCAATTGCACTGACTTCTGTTGAGTTTATATAATTTATAAATGTGCCCATAAAAAGAACATTACCATACAATAAATATCAAATAAATAAATAAATGTCACTGTAACTGTTCTCTAGAATGACAACAAACAATAAGTGTTATAGTCCCAGATGGTGACTTAAATTGGCACTGAAGGCATAGATAGACCATTGGGTACTGATGCACTTTTCCTACTGAAATGGTACTAAGGGGAAAATGGCTGTTCTGTTTGCATACCATCTCTACAGCTTCTCGCCATCAAATTTGCTGCAGTGGTTCGTGCAGCTTTGGATTGGAAGAGAATCCTGATTTTTGTCACAAAAAAAAAAGAAGGAAATAAAGAAAAAAATCTTTACAGAGAATTCTAATTTTTATCTGAGCCAGACATTGTGTGTGAAAACTTGTACAAATAATTTAAGGCTCTGAATGAGGGTACATTTTTCAGGAGAGGATGTGTTTCTATCTACTTTTGTATCTATCAGACATCTAGGCTAAAGGCAGATCTAAATCCAATTGAAGATGGAGATGATTCAAATTTGGGCTTCAGTCATTTAGAGCACTGGTCTTCTCCAGGGATTGCTGGAAGCTCTGCTCAGCTTCTCTGCCCCTCAGCCTGCTTTTTGCTCTTGCATTTGCAAATTTCTAGTAAGAAAAAGCAGCTCCAAATGCAGGACTCCCCTCTCTGGATCTTGCTTTGGGAACTTATCAATGCCCTCAAAGAGGTGTTTGGTATGCTTTGTTTTCTTTGTATTTCTCAGGAGGTTTGGTCTAAATCAACTTTACAGTCAGAAGCAGAAGCTTCTTTATCCCTACTTTGATTATTGGTGTCACTACCCATCCAGTCTTTCTAGCTGATTATCTTGGATTGATCCTCAATAGCTCAATATCTCAGTGTCTCCCTCTTCCTTTCTTACCAAATCTGCACACGTAGAAAGGTCTCTCAAAACCACACTCTTGCCACTCCCTGGCCCTGTAATTGTTTAGGTTACAATTGCCTGTTCAGCTTTCCATCTGATGCTGTCACAAGGATCTCTCAAATCTAGTCTTGAGTAGGACTGTATCTTACTCTGTTTGGGCTGCTGTATTTATAAACAACATAAATGTATTTCTCACAGCTCTGCAGGCTGGGAATCCATGATCAGGGGCTGGCAGATTCATGGTCTAGTGAGAACCCACTTACTGGTTCACAGGTAGCTGTCTTCTTGCTGTGCCCTCATACAACAGAAGGGGCAAGAGAGCAGTCCATAGTCTCTCATATAAGGGTATTAATCCCATTCATAAGGGCCTCCCCTCCAAATACCATCACATTACAGATTAGGTTTTCAACTCACAGTTTTTCAGGGGACACATTCAGACTGTGAGCATAAAATATCCTGGAAGTTAAATAGTTAAGTAGTAATTCCTTTTCATGCCCTTTATCCCTGAAATGCCTCTTTGGAAAGATGCTACATGGTATCCTACAGGAAGTCAAGGCATCCACATGTCTATCTAATGGGGGGAAGATGTACATGTTTAGCTTTGACCCAATCAGGAAGGTAGTCTTTTATTCAATGGGAGCTGACCAGAGCCCTGTTCAGATTGGCAGCAGAATCAATGGCAAAGTTGGTCTGACAACTCCAGCACACTGACTAGAAGTAGGATTGGTGGGGCCATAGCACCGTGCAAACAAGAGTTCTCTTCCCATTGCAAAGAAAGCTGAGCAGCACATACTTCTGGGAGAATCTTAGGGGAAAGCAGTCTTTTTAATAAGGTTTCTAAAAGACTTGATGCTTAAAGGGAACTTCGAAAATATGAGCCAATAAAGATAAAAACATATTTCTGGATTATAATATACTACAATAACTTGGCACAGGACAAAACTCATGTTGGATGCACAGCAAAGAATCAGAATGTAGGCAAAGAAAAAGAGCAATTTAATCCAGGCAAACACAGGGACAACTGACCTGGCTGCTCAACATTAGCAGGATGGGGAACTCGGAGGCAGATTCCTATGTTCCCCACAGCATATTGTTTTAACACCATGTATTTCTGTCTGGGTGGGCTCCACATTACCCAAGCACAGGACAGCTCTATATTCGTCAACTAATAACCTGGTCTTGGCAGCTTGATGGCTCCTGCCCAGGTTATTAACTGTGTGAACTCGTGCTCCTGAAGGCTGCTGGTGTTAGAAAGATAATGGGAAAAACTGGAAGGGAATATACAGAAAGGAAAATGGTTTTTGTCCTAGTCTATGGGATGATGGATGACATTTCCCTTCTATGTTCTCTAAACATTCCTTAAGGGGGTCATATTTTCTTTATAAAATAGATGAATAAATACAAAATACAAGTAGTATAAAGAAGAAGAAACATCCTCTAAAATATAATAAAAAGTATAACCAAAACTTTTGGAACTTAGAATTTTTGTAATTAATTCCAGTACTGTAATTAAATGTCTATATAAGGGATGAGGATGGAGTGTCATGGGCCTCCTGAGAAGGTCTTAGAATTAAATCATTCTGACAGTCAGTTGGCCCCTTTTACTTTTTAACACCGTGTTGTTTATTTTCCCTACAAAGCAAATGTACAAGATATTTTGTATCTCATATTATTTATGAAGAAAATTTCTACCTGAAATTCTCATATTCTTCTGCTTGTCGTTTCCATGGACAGCTCTGTATGTTTGTGATAATCTGAAGATAGTCATTCTCTGAATACCTAAAAGTCAAATATCAGCAACATTAGAAATAAAGATGTCATGTGCTGCTAAACAAATATATAAGCGTTCTAAAGACACTATTATAATCCACTCATGTTAGGCCTCTAAATCTTTTCTGAAATAAGGTAATGTAAAAATAAGTAAATTTCATACCCATTTCAAAACTTCTAGGACCAAAGAATTTGCAAAGAATTCTATTGATTCAGAAATGCATGACTTGCATATGTCATAAGTCAAGTCTAGTATTACAAATGGACCATGACAGCACAGCAACTTCTATTCATGTCTTTGGCCATTTTGCCTTAGCTATAACTTATTAACAAATAAATATACATTTCACAGATGTTTAACATAAATATATCATTTATCATTTTTTTGCAGACTCTAAGCTGATAGATTTACCTTGGGATACATAGATAAAATTTCCCCAAAATAATCACTTTAAATTTTAATTCTGAACAGTACATTAAAAAGCCAGATTAAGCTCAGTTAAGGAGATGTATTTTGGCATAAAATGTCTATAGGCACAGAGATACAGTTTGGCAGGACCCCACTCCCCTCTAGATCTCCCTCTACCTGAAATTTCATCATTAAGTATCAATTCCTTCAATCACAGAATAGCCTTTAGTCTTTAAGGTTATCATTTAAAGTGCAAATATCCTTTTGAGTGATAAAATACTTAAATTTTCTTTCAATTAATATCTTAGTTATTACTTGCCAGCTATTTGAGATCAAGGCTCTGCAGTAAGGAGGCAATATATGCTTGTTGAGTTGTGGGGGAAAGAAGAGCGCAGTAAAGAATCTTGCCAGGAAATCCTTCCCCCATCCTCATCTAGCAAAGTGCAGACCCTCCAACATTAATCTCTGAAAGGAGGTATTTCTTACAGATGAGGAAGGTAGTCAACCAAGAATCTCCTCTCTCCCTGAAATTTACCTACCTTTACCTCTCTTTTCAATTTTGTCATCAAGATTAATCCGTCTTGATTTCCATTAGCCCAGCTAAGAAAGGCTAAGTATCTTGAAAGACTTTGCTAAATACTAAAGGAGAAGCAAAGCAAAGAACTACAACAGGGAAGATTTTTAAAAGTTTTATTTGCATATAGGCTTTCAACCTTAACAGATTTACTTCACTCTGTTGGGCCCTAGGACTTGTCCTACTACACCAACTAGCTTGAGAGATTTATGCTCTAGCCCCAAAGCTTTGTCTAGATCTGACACTTCATAGATGGAGTGAAGACTCCACATGTTGGAGACACCCAGAGACTCTGCAAGACAGTGTTAAGCTAAAAAAAAAAAACCACACATTCAACAGCCTTCCCAAGGCTCTCTCACCTTCTAGCTTTTCAGGAGGGAAGGACACTCTGTTCTCTCTCATCTGGATATCTTATCTACAACCAAGGCATGGTTTTTAATCATTTGATCATATTGAAATAGGACAATAATCAGAGTACTATGTGCACCAGGATCCATCAGGCAAAATAACAAAAGTATTGTTATCTCACAAAGCTCAACTAAAGAGAAAAATAGAAAAAGGGCCAAACACAAACATCTTTTGTAATTATATCCATGAGAATTGCAATTGCATGTTAAGCCCTCAAGATAATACATACCATGAAAAGCATAGTAACTGAAAAATTATTATCCTATCATAAAAATTAAATGTGTCAGAGTTTAAAGTTCTGTGTAAATGTCATTAGAGTTTATTATATGTAATTTCAATACAGTATTTTATATATATAATTTATTATTGTAATTTTTCATTATGTACAGCTAAGATCATAAGATTAGTGAACTTGAAAACAACAATAGAAACTACTGAAAATGAAACATAAATGAAAAATGATTGAATGAAAAAGTTACAGAGAAGCATTCAGTTGTGAGACAACCTCAAGTGGTCCAATATACTTAAAATTACGATTCTACTAAGAGAAGAGACCAAAATTTTTTTGAAAAAAAATTACAGTAGCAAATTTCCCAAACTTAATGAAAACTATAAATCCAAAGATCCAAAAAGCTCAACAAACACAAAGCATAAAAACATGAAGAAAGGCACATAATACAATTTCTTTAAACCAGTGATAAAGAGAAAATCTTAAAAGTAATTAGAGATGCATTATGTACATAGACACAAAGATAAGAATTTCAGCAAACTTGTCAGAAACAACACAAGTCAGAAGACAGTGGAACAATATCATTAAAATACAGAACAAGATTTAAGGAGATTATTGACCTGAAACTACATAGTCAGCAAACCTTTCAAAAAATGAAGGTGAAACAAGGACTTTTTCAGATATACAAAGTCTAAAAGAATTCATATCAGTAAACCTGCAGTGCAAGGACTACTAAAGGAAGTCCTTCAAGCAGAAAAAAAAATGAAATCAGATTGTAATCTGGATTGACACAAAGTAATGAAGAGTCCCAGGAAGGGTAAATATGTAAATATGTATGAAAGACTGTTTCTTAGTTTTCTAGGTATCTTTAACAGATAACTGACTGTTGAAAATAAATATAATAATAATATATTGGAGAATTAATAACATATGTAGAAATAAATTCATGACGAGTATAGAACAAAGGCCAAAAAGAAAAAGTGGTAGTATAAAATGACTTGAAATCAGACTGTGATGAGAAAAACTGCATACTGTTTACTTAAAGCAACTAGAAAAAAAACAAAACCATAAAAAGTGATAAGATGTAATTATAAAATTACTCAACCAAAAGAATGTAGAAAAAGAGGGAAAGGTATAAAGAGCAGGCAAATAGAAAACAAACAGCATGAGGAAGACTTAAACCCAACCACATGAATACATTACATGCAAAAAATCTAAACATAACTGACACGCAGACAATGTCACACTGGATATTTAAAAAGCAGAAGTCAATTATATTTTACTTACAAAATACTTCTTTTGCATAAGTAAAAATTTAATTGAGTAGAAAGATGTGGAAAGATGTACCATCTTAAAATAGTAGAACTAGTTGAACTAATTCAACAGTACAATTAATTGAAGCAAAGCTGGATGAACTGTATTTATATCAGACAAAGTAGTTTCTTAAGCATGGAATATTAGCATGAAAAAAACAGAGTAAGAGCAGAAATTGATGAAACAGAAGAAAAATCAAAAGTTGTTTCATTGACATATCAATGAAATTGACAAACTTCTTGCCACAGTGATCAAATATCTAAATTTCAAAATTCTAGTTACTATGAACCTATAGTATATATTTAAATGGGCATGCTTCCCAAAGAGTACTCCAGATAGCAAGTAAGTTGTTTCTTCCTATGTGTTCTCACAGTGCCTGGACCAATACTCCTACAATAGCCTTTCTCACACTGAGTTTTACTGTGTTTACATGTTGGCTGTCCCTTCTAGACTCTCCTTTCCCCACTGCCCAGGACTTGAAAGACTGGGCATTACCAGCCTAACACAATCCCCAGGATATGTCGATTGTTCTTGTTAACCCAAACATGCAATGCATGTTTAAATACACATACGAAATGTAATGAGATCATAAACTATCCTGAATAAAGTTCACAGCCACATTTCCTTATTCCATGGCATACGACTTCTACTTAGTAACTTTCCTAGTGCTGACCTCTACTCATTTTTCCTGTTCACAAATCACCCTCTATTACAGCGCCATCCTCCTTCAGTGCGTTCCTGAGAATTCTCAGATTAGAGCTCAGTAGCTCTCAGTCATTTCAGCCAGTCCATTAACCCAACTCATCCTTCCTACCTCCCAATCTCTCATGAACTAAGAGGGCTGTGCATCTTGTGTGTAACCTGTTAAACATTTACCCTTTCTAAGAATGAGAAACCCGTATGTTGGCTGCCCCCATCTTTGTGTTTGGGCTCCCTCAACAGTGATCAGTGTAGAACTTGAAGATTTCACACAGGAAATGGACAAAAGAGGTTGTTAGGTAGTACAGATCAAACCTCTGCAACTTTTAAAAGCAAAACTACAATAAATCTTGATCTCATTTTGGTTAACTCTCAGACTTGAGAGTAATCTCTTTTCTCAGCCCTCTTTGTTGGCACGGGTTAGGTGTGGGAGTCCTCTCTTTTCAGCCTCCATTTCAGTAATGTTGTGAGCAGGTCGTTAAATCATTGGTAGTTTTAAATTGGCCAAGGCAGGAGCATTTACACGATAGGAATCAGCAAACATGTGCACTGCTGCTCCTATGCTTCTCCACCCCAACTGGGCAACCTGTTGGCCTGGCTTGAAACTTCACTTTCCCCCAGTTTGAACCTTCTGGAGGCCTGCCACAAAGACCAGGACAGACTTTGGGGCCACACCTGACTCTCCAAATGAGATTGATCCAGAGTGGTCCAAAATCCAAGGTGAAATGAAACTATCATATCAGACCCAAATAACAAGTACTACTCTGGGAAATTAAAGGTGACTCCATTCCACGAGGGTTCTGAGCAAATGCTCTTAAATATACAGCTGACCCTTGAACAGTACAGGGGTTAGGGGCATTGACTATCCACAGTCAAAAACCTATGTGAAATTTGACTCCCCAAAATACTAACTACTAATAAATAGCCTTCTATTGACCAGAAGTCTTGCCAATAACATAAACAGTCAATTAACACATATTTTTTTTGAGAGGGCATCTCTCATATTTATTGATCAAATGGTTGTTAACAACAATAAAATTCAGTATAGGGGGGTCAATGCTCAATGTACAATCATTAATCCATCTCAAGCCTAACTCTCGTCAGTCTCCAATCTTCTGAAGCATAACGAACAAGTTCTTACATGGTGAACGAATTCTTACATAGTGAATAAATTCTTACATGGTGAACAGTACAAGGGCATTCATCACAGAAACTTTCGGTTTTGATCATGCAATATGACCTATAAACCATCAGGTCAAATATGAATATTCATTTGATTTTTGTACTTGATTTATATGTTGATCCCACATTTCTCCCTTTATTATTATTATTATTTTTATTTTTAATAAAATGCTGAAGTGGTAGGTAGATGCAAG